GGCAATGCCATCAAGTCAATGAATTTCTATGAACGTATTAACTGAGACAGTTTTAACCTGTCTGTATTCCCACGCCAGATTGCTAATTACCTCCATTTGTTTTCTATAATGGATTTCTATCTCTGTGGAGGGATTTTTGACATAAAAATTTGTTTCACTCATAGCAACAGCAAGCCTGTATTCAGATTTGTCCCTGCAAGGGCAGTGTTTTCTTTTTTTACATTTTTGAGCTCCTCAGTCCTACGAGGCAGCACCCACCACCCGAGCTACTGTAATCACCTCCTGAACCAAGCAGTTCCTGGGCTCATATACATAGAGGCAATGCCTGCGCTCAGTCATGCCCATAAAAAATCCGAAGAGATTTTACTGAGTATGATGGAAACTTGGGTTACATTGTCTTTAGATCTGTAATGTGTTCAGTACCTGAGATATTTCCCAACAATAGATGCTGTAGCACTATATTCAGTGTGTTTCAGTCTCCTCTGGGAACAACAGGGTGCTTCTCCTTCTCAGACATTTTCTCAGCCTTTATGATAAATACTGTTTAAAAACATTGCATTTTGAAATGCTGACAGGTTTGTAAAGGTAGAAACTAGTTCTGCTTTTGAGGACTGGCTGTGGCCATGGTGGTGGCAGGGAGGAGGAAGATGAAGGGTTGCAAATTTGTCCAGTTTTGCAAACCCCAATAGACTGTTTCTTCCTCCCTCTGCCCAAGCAAAGCCATCTGTCCTTCCTGCCTCCCTCTGTTTTTCCTTACTATTGAAATATCATAGAATTTTTCTTTTACATAAGTTTATATAAACTCCACTTCCCATCAAGAGCAAACTACTACCATCTCTGTCACACTAGTGCCATGTCTTTTCTTCAACAAAGTATCATTTCATCTGTATCCTTCTGTGAATTTACATTTGGCTTAAAAGTCACAAATTAGCACTTTGTCTTATCTTTACTTTGTATCAAAAGAGAATGTATTTCATTAATTGATTTTCTACCAATTTTTCTAAGTAAATAAACCACACTCTTGCCTAGCAATGACTACACAGAACCATGCTACGTACGCCACTTCTTAGTAAAAGAACCCAGAAGAGTATTAAGAAGCGGTTGCAATGACAAGCTTGCACACAGTTATGAGTGAAGGTTGATTAGCACAGTTTTCAGAAATGATCTTGGTGTTGTTTGGCCCACAAACATTCATCAGTGAAAGAACGCAAGTATCTAATATGCAAGCCACCAGCTTAGTAAGGAGTGGTGAGGATACCTACACTAATGAGGACATCAAGGTTTAGAGCAATGTACCAGCTCTCTTAGTTTTTTGTACCTGACATTCACCACTTAGGATGTCAATGATGTCATCCAGTGACATGCACTGAGGTGTAAGCTTGCTGAAAGCAGCCAAGGAATGTGTGATCTGCTGAGAATTCATTGCTGAAACCAGGTGACTTACACACACTAACCTTTATTACAGCAATTCAAATTACATATAATGTTTCCTGTATACTGTCTGATCACCTGCACAAGGCACATTATTTACTTGGTGGCCCTATATGAAGTAACATGTGTCTGCAGGACAGATCCTCTAAAGGTGTGCAGTTGTGTCATAGTGAGAGGGTCTGGTGCTTTGTCTTTGCAGAGATAGGATAAGAAACACCCTCTGGAGCAGGCAGCAAAAGACTGGAGAAGTGAGAAAAGTTGGTCTGGTACTTTTAGGATCGAAAAGACAAGAGGGATTTCTAAAACCTGAGAAGACATGAGGATGCTGAGTGGAAGAATATTTCTCTAATTAAAGGGCATTGAGAAATCTGGCTAAACTCGGCGCACACTCACAGCTGTCTACATTGGCTTTGGCATGCAGTGTGTTGTGCTCAGGGCACATGGTCAGAGGAGCATGCTGAGCCCTTTGCAGTGATTCTGAAACTCAGCACAAAGAACCCTTAAAATGTACTGCTGGGGGAGAGGAGCTGAGGCTGACAGCACAAAGAAGCTGTGAAGTTTAAACCTCGTTTAAAAGCCTCTGCAGTCACCTGAAAAACCTCACTCAATGGCTCTCAAGGGGAAGACAATTTAGAGTTGTCTTTAAAGCTTCTGAAGTACTTAAGGCTATAGATATACTTGTAGGTATGCTATGCAGCAGGAAGAGACCTGTAGCATGAAAAGGATGGAGCTGATATTCACTCTGTGCATTTGTGGAGAGGGGTCTGCTTCAGCTGAGTAAACCCCTCTATGGTTCCTCAGCCTGAGCACTGGCTAGCAGGTACATAGTGTAGGATTCATGAAGGGCACCCTGGAGAATAACTTTGAGTTGAGCAACAGCTGAAGCGAAGGCTCATTACCCTGTGGATCTCCATCATGTAAGTCAGTGAAGTGGGGGCCACCCACAGGTTAAAAACCACAGTACTGACGCAAACTAAAAAGCTGATGTGGCCATAAGCTTCTGGAACTGCCCAAATTGCTTGCATGAAGGAAAGCACCAGGACACTGTCCCATCTCCCACCACAGCTGCAGAATGCACCCTCAAAGCACTATCCTGATGCATTGGAAAGGTATAGGAAAACGGTGATGAGAAGAGGGAAATGAGCAGATAGCTGAGGTGCTTTCCTTTCTCCCTCCCTTTTCTCTCCAGAGCTCTCAGATTGGTAGGAAGGAGGGCAGTCCTGAGCTCTCCCCCTCTGGAGGAAAGCTGAGCCCCCATTTAGCACCTGTTTGGCAGATGCTCAGACCATGAAAAGCCAGAGGATACCCTGAGGTGAAATTCTATTGATGTGCATTGCTTTGAACCAATGAATATTTCACTATTGGAGGGAGGGAGAGAGAGAGAGAGAGAGAGAGAGAGAGAGAGAGAGAGAGAATATGAATCAATAATTCAGGAGTAAGGAAAGGGGAAGGGATGGGTTGGAACCACTGCTGGAGGATGCATTTCACTTTTTGAAAAACTTAACGCTCTGTATTTTTTTTCAAAGACCACCTTAATAACCTACAGTCTTTTCAGTAAAGCCTTAAAGCCACTATACTCATCAAAGGAACAATCATTCTGTGCCCCATCACTCTAATCAATGAGCAACATTTAACATAAGGCTTCAAACCACAAACTTCCTTCTGGAGGTCATCTCTGATCCAGCCTCTCTATGGAGGCAGGGGAAGGGAGAAGAGAGACAATACAGGGTTGGGAAACACTGTGAGAATAAAGAGCAAACTACTATTAATTGAACAATAAAGTCATAAAGAGGGAGGTAATATTGTTACACTAATTTAATTTTGAACTGACCCATGGAGAAAAAGACAAGATAAATGAAGGAAAAAATGAGGAGATAAAGAATTACTGATACAGAAAAAATTATCCTGGTTTTCCAGTGAAGCAAAACAAGTTGCTTTTTCTGAAACATTAAGCTGAGATCTCAGTTTCCAGGTAGAAATATCTAGAATTTCTAAGGACTTAGTAGAAACCCGTTTTGAAAAACCCATGCCTGTTTGCTTGGAAATACTGGCTCAAACTATTTACTTCTCAAAAATTTTTTTTTAAAATTATTGAAATATCTTGTGTCCAAAGGTATAAATTTAAAATCAAAATCTTCTGACTTGGGGGTTAGAATACCTTAATCACAGTAAACTTTAGAGATGGTTTTCAAATGTAAAATGGTGATATCAAAATGAAACACTTTACCACCCTAAATTTTTTTTTAAATTGAAGCTATTTCTTCATATTGCTTGGTTTTGTAATGATAAATTTCACAAAATGTTTTCCTAACCTGTTCTCTCCCTTTATGGTAATCTGTGCAAGAAGAGCAATATGCTATGTTACTTGAAGTGGCATGATACTGGATTGATGCACATTTTCTTCCGTGGACTGCACTTAGAAAATTTGGTCCTACAGAGAGAACTTGGTTTTAGAGGCAAAACTTAATATCGCCCATATGTACAAGAGGAGCACCAGTTCTTGCAATTTGTTTATGAAACCTGCATCTCTGTGAGCACTCACTTGTTCAATAAGCAGAACAAAGGCTGGAATATCCCCTTAGATTTTCTCAAAAAAAAAAAATAGCCTGAGGTGTATTTAATTCGGCAAAAGTAAAAGTACAGGCATAAGTAGGTTAACCTTAAGCAGACAAGACAGGGTTGGTCATTAATTAATTAAGTTTGCAAATTAAGTCCTGACAAAATTTCCTCTGATTTTAGCAACATTTGGTTGTCACTCCAGGTGCTTTTGTAGGAGACACTTTTTTAATGAAATAACAGAAAAAGAAAAAAGGACATTAAGTAGTTCAATATTTGGCACAGCTGGGATGAAGCTGACACATTTAGACACTAACCTATAGCATCCCTAGTGCTATATTTTTTATCCACACCTCATGGAAAACCTGGTGACCCTTTGTAGATGTCAGTGAACCCAGCATACTGCAGGATCAGGCCCATCAGGCTGTCCCTTCCATTTCTCTCACAGATAAGCCTAAAATGTTTAGGTGTATGTGAGATTAACACCCATAGGGAAATTTTTATGCACCTCTACTCACAAAAAAAGGCAACTTGTTATTTGAGGAGGAATGGATCCTAGTTAATTTTAGTCATGCGGGTACAGACCAGGACCTGCATCCAGCCTAGGGCTGGAGTGCTGATCACCTCACATCTCTTTGTAAGCAATGGAGAGGAGAAAGGACTTTAAGGGCCCAGCTCATCTGACCTGTTTGTAGTGCCAGCCAGACTGAACTGCAACCCAGAGGGCAGAGGAAAGCTGTGTGCATGAGAAGCCAGCTATGGGCTCCCGTGCTTAGGGGAATCTTGCTGTCTGCCTGAATGGATTGGTGGTAAATTAAGAAAGCAAGAAAATAAATACACAAACTTTTGGAAGCTTTCCCAGCTCCTCTAGCATTCTCAGCTGACTAGTTGTGGCTCGGCTGCCCTCAGGAGTGGGGGAGCTGGTACATCTCGAGGGTCATACCCACCTCTGTGGCTCACCTGCGGCCATTATTTGCTTCTTTTAATACTTCTTCAGTTAATTTTCTTTGCAGATTCATTCACGGGACTCATAAACATAATGACTGACATAATTTGGCGCTACACTGGAGATTTTATGGCTCCTGATATCGTTTGCAGAATCGTTCGCTACTTCCAGGTATAGAAACCTCGTGCTCCCCTGTATGCCCAAGCTGCTGTGCTTTGTGTCCCCACAGCAGGAAACCCCAACAAAAATGCTGTATAAAATTGTTCAAAAGTGCTGAATGATGAAAATTTCTATTTAAAGCTGAAACACTTTAATCAAAGCATATAAAATCTTTTTAATTTTGTGGACGAGGTAAAGGAAAAATATCGGGGTGAATACAAAAGGTGGGGGTTTTTTGCTTTTTCTCTTTTTTTGCTTTCTTTAAAAGTTTTCAAATATTCCTAGTTCAGAGTTCTTGCTGACATAATTTTCTGCAACAAATTTCTCTCAACTGCTCTCTTGTTACACCTTCTGCCCCAGGTGGTCCTTCTCTATGCCTCGACTTACGTCCTTGTGTCACTAAGCATAGACCGGTATCATGCCATAGTTTACCCAATGAAGTTCTTGCAAGGAGGTAGGAGAATTTCTGTGCCTTGTTATTGCTATGGATATTACTGGATTATTTTTTAGTTTTCAAAATTCTTAATCTTGTTGCCATGAATTATTTATTCCTGCTGTAGCTACATTTGAACTCCATTACAGTTTTTCAAATGACAAAGGAACTCTGATTTCAAGATTTACTAAACTCCACTTAGCCCTTAGCAGCGTTCAAAAGTATTGTGTTAGCAAAGAATGAAACGACATTTTAAAATGTATAGTGGTTTTCATTATTTTCCAGCATTATTAGAAGGTAATTATAGGCAAAAGTTATCTCTTGTACAACTATACTGACTATAGAAGCTGCAACAGCTATATTTTCTATTTATCCACACTAAAAAATAACTTGATGGAGAGGATGGTACTGAGAATTCATACAACAGTTTAATAAGAACTTCAAAAGATATAGCGTATAAGTTTGGACACCTACTCTTTCTTATAATTTCTTCTATTTGTTTTGGTTTGATTTATGGGTTTTTTTACAGCAGTCAAATATCGCCTGTTCTCTTAGAAGTACAGTTTAAAGAAAACTACTTCTTTCCTACAGAGACAAAGTGGGGTATTAAGTATGTTGCACTGAGTGAATAAACAGAATTAGCAGATGGGGAGGAAGAAGAACAGTTATAAGGACCATGAGGTCTGGAAAATGTGCTTTAATCAAATGCAAATATTCTTGTTTTGGAGTAATGATGGCTTTTGCCAGATGGCTCTATTCAGGGGATCAGATTAATGATCCTCTCTGGCCTTAAAAACCTATGAATCAATCACAGCCAAGGCAGTGGTGCAGCTTTGGCAGATGTTAAGATCTGAAAACTTCAAATACTTGTCTGAAATTTAGCTTGATATTCTCCAGTGTGCAGATGAACTTTATTAGGCCGGGGAGATTGATATCAAGGTTTTCTCAGCAGGCTTTGGTAAGTGTGGTGTGCCCTACAGCTCCTGCTGATGTTGCATCAGGAAGGCAGGTGCAACCAGCTGAGTGGGGCAAGATGATCAGACCTGCTGGTCTTTCTTCTTCATTGTATAGGAAAAGTAGCACTTGTTAAATTGCTGCCTGGGCACAGTAAAGAATTTGATGGTTAATCTTTGAAAAACACTTTGAAGTTGAAAAAGAACCTGCACCAAAATCACCTCAAATCTCACCTCAAATTTTCATAAAAGTCACATTTGCTATACCTATACCATTACGTTTTTTCTTTTATTTTTAAAAATGGAGAAGAGCAAACATTGCCCTCAGTCAAGGGTACCAGAGTCATCAGCTGGGTGCAGCTCTGGGCAGAGGAAAAAGCACTGACAAAACTCACCTGCCTCTGGCAAGAGTTGGCTACTCACTGATGGACAAGCAAAGACCATGTTCAAAGGGGAAAAGAAAGCATCTGTAAATCCAAAAGAAGAATCTAGAGAGATATATTTATGATAGCAACTTTTTGGAATATATATAAAATAATCACTTTTTGCAACCCAGCTACTTCTTGCAGAGGTGCCATGTGGGAGGCTTTTGAAATGCCCTCTTAGTTATTCTGCAGATAGAGAACAAAGAGATTTACAAAACTTTGTTATTGGTGATGACACAGAGAAACTTCATGAACAGTTCTGAGTCAACCTGTGGCAAATTTCTTTCCAAAATGAAACACTCATCCCCTCACAATCATTCAATCAAGAAACAAAAGAGTTGTTTCTCCTTAGTGATTTTAAAAATTATGTTTCCATGTGGCCTTGGAGTGTGATTTGAGAAAAAAAATCACACTCCAAGGCCACATGGAAACATAATTTTTAAAATCACTAAGGAGCTTTGAAAATGTCAACCAACTTTTTTTTTTAAATTGTGGTTTAGTTATTAGCTTCAAGTCCTGTTAAAAAGCATTTGCAATGAGTTGTACTTTGCACGGTTTTTGAGAAGACAGACTTTGACAGTTGAATATTTTTTATTTTGCAAACACATAAATGACCACAGAAAATAAAGGATGTGAAAGAAGTATGGCTTCTACTCCTAACACTTTTACTGTGAAGCACCTCATTCTGTAAGCAGAAAGGGGCATTAACAAAAAATGGTAAAATAAAGATCGAAAGGAAAAGAAACTGAGAAGTTATAGAAGAAGACATTTCATCGTGTTGAAAAGGCATATGCAAACAACATACAAACTAAACAAGAGGTGACAGAAGAACTGCTTAACTAAAAGAAACCCAAATAGATGTAAACTGTCCCTGGCATGGCTTTAGTCTGAAAATAATGCTAAAGTCCATCAGATCAATGAGATTCTGGAACAGCCCACTCTCTCTGGATTTAGAACCTAATTTTAAAGTGGCAGTCACTTTATCAAAGGGTTGCATAGCATTGATGTTCTTGGTGGCAGGAAGGAAAGGTCCTTCCAAGAGGTGCCTCCCTGCCACACGTTGCTGGGAGCAGAGAGATGTGCACAAAACCATTGTCACAGTGCAAGGACGGTGGGAGCAGAATAAAGGGGACAGTCACATGAAAACATCCTTTATGTGAGTCAGTGCTCACAACTGAGATTTCCACCTCAACCCTGGGAGTTAGTCTTGACCATCCAGTATGAAAAACTCTCCAGTTAAACAGCAATGTTGTTTTTTAAAGGAAAATACTGAGACTGGCTAAATAGAGTATTGTATTTCAAAATCTGATATTTTTTTTATTCCGCTTATAACAGACATAGTTCTAGTTATATGATTTGCTGGCATTTAGAGCATATTAGAGTAACTACTAAAAAAAACTCCAACAAAAAAACCCCAAACAAAACCTGCTTGTGAGGCAGCAAATCAACATTAGTCTGATAAAACAAAAGTCTGCTTCCCTGAATGCAATCACTGCCCTGTAAAGCCCTTTAGACTAGCAAGGCCATATTTTACCAAACACAAGGGACATTTTAAAACAAGAATAAATGAACATTGCAGGTAATGTTTTATAAAATACAAAGATATAATACCACTCTTGTCCAACTCAAATTGCCCACTTCAGTCCAAATTACAGTCATTGTTATACAGTGCAAATAAAATAAGGCATATTATCCAGGTATGATCTTTTTCTCTTAGAAATACACAGGTGACCCCGACTGAGACTTGTATGAATGTAGTTTAAGTTGTTAGCTCACATTTGAAGTATCCTTTCTGTCAGGAAATATTTTGCGAAATTTATTCTTAATATTCCTTTTGCTAAGTTTATTCTGTTATGCTTTGGGAAACTTTACAGTTCTCCTTCTCCTGTGCAATATTTATAGACTTAATCTAACCCTCTCACTTAGGCAGATGTCATCAGAGTTCCCTTAAGCCCTAGATTAGCAAGACTGTATTTTGCTGAACGTGGGTAGCATTTAAAAATGAGCAGGATAACTGAGTATTTGCAACTGATGTTTTATAAAGCATAAAATTACTTTTTGAATGTTTCGCCCACATGCTTTTGTATTGCTCTTTGAGCTTCAAGGAGGAAAGACATTCTTTTTGATATGCATAATTTAAAGTGATTTTCTGTTTCACCTCAAGTATTTTTTAGGGCAATAAAGTATTTGAACACCAAAGCTTCCTAGATCAAAAAAGCTGCCCCATCTGTTCCTCTCACAATCTAACTGAGGAGGACTGTCACTGAAAATCACTACTATTCCACAGATCAGCCCTTTTTCCCCACACTTTTTTAGTAGAGCTACCTGGATTTTAGCCAGAAGATACCGATTTGTGAAAATGAAAGCCTTGGGACATTTTGCTCTGATACATTGATATTTACAAAATCCCATGGATGCCACCAGGCAACATTTGGTTGCCCACTTGTTTTCCCCACTTGACAGTGGAGGAGGCCGGAAGTCAAGAGGAAGCAGTAGCCCAAATCTGTTGGGTGTTCTGGGATCCTTCAGCTCCTGTTCTTCACCATGAGATCACAGATCTCCTAGTCAATGTCTCTTGTAGCAGATAAAACAGGGCTGAGCACTTGAGCACCGTCATGTGCTATGTCTCATGGTTAGCAGTCCACTCTTGTCATGGCTTGGGCATATGCTTTTCAACAGGACGTGGGTTTGGCCCCCATCACGATACAGAGAAGTGCAGGAGATGCCCATGCTCCTCAGGACCACATTTCTGTGGGACTGTAAAGTTGTAGCTGGAGGTAAAGGCAGCTGGGTGTGCAGTTCTGTTCTGATCCTGAACTGAGGCATTTTCTTTTTCCTGATAGAAGAGGTTTTGCAATCTTTCTCACTTCAAGGTGCATCAATAGGCAGGCAGTAGGGCAGGCCTGCAGTCCTTTACATCCATTCACAAGGTTCTCTTGGTAGCATAGAGGAACCATTTACATTTCATTTTTCTGACTTACTGACCCTGGCCAGTGCCTTTCTCATAGTGTTTCAGATTCAACAGACCCTAAGCATCCTTAAATAAAACTTGTAAAGTACAAGCCCATAATGACATGATTATTTATCATGAGAAAGAGATGAAATCCCTTTTTTCCTTCATAGTCTTTTCAGCATCAGCCAATTGAAGCCTAAAATTCCCTTTCTTTACATGATTACCTCCTCCTCCCTGCCTCTCTGTCAGTACTGCTGCAAGGGTTCACTCTCACCAACAACCCCATTAACACTGTCTGTTTGACTCTGTTGCACAGAAAGACAGGCGAAAGTGCTTATTGGAGTGGCCTGGAGCCTCTCTTTCCTGTTTTCCATACCAACTCTGATTATTTTTGGGAAACGGCAGCTCTCCAACGGAGAAGTGCAGTGCTGGGCTCTCTGGCCTGATGACTCCTACTGGATACCCTACATGACAGTGGTGGCTTTCCTGGTGTATTTCATTCCTCTGATCATTATCAGGTAAGCCTGAACCGCAATCAGCAAGCATGTGGTAAAAGCTGTCAAGTGTGCAATCAGCATAATGCCTTAATTTCTACTCATTCATTACAATTTCATTTCCATGCCTGCTGTATAGCTGCTTCGGTTTTTATCACATAATACATGGGTTGCTGTACTTGCCCTGGGTGTTCTCCATGTGGTATTAAGAGCCAGAAACATTTTCTCTGAAAAGAGGAATGAATCTCTAAGTGTGTCCACTTATCTCCACAGCTTCAGGCTTGAAAGATACTTCCATAAATCCAGTATGAATATCTACTTATTATTACAAAAGATAATTTTAATGAAAGCACAGGAAACTACATTTAACACTAATTATAGTAAAATTAAATTGAAGTGCTCTCAAGCTTCACAGTTTTAGACAAGTATTCCTTCACCAGGATTGGAAAGAAACCTCCAAGCATTTGAAGTTGCCAACCACTTTTAAAATAGGAGCAAATACAATTCTTCCTGTTTTGTTATGGGGAACCTAAGCTGCAAATATTTGAGACTGATTTGCCCCAAATCACAAAGGCAATCTGCTGCAGAATCTATTTTAAACTGAGGCCAACCAATAACCCAGACTGTGCCCAGTGATCAGTGAAGTTTATTACCTCCCTCTAGGGCACTGCCATTAGTTGACGTTAAACAAAAATTATCTAGCCATGAGGAGTAACCAACGCAAAGGAGCAGCCAAAATCTGATGTGGAAGGGGATTGAGGTTTCTTAACTGCCTAGAAAGGCTCCCAGTGGCAGTAACTTGTTCTCTGAGCCCTTATCTTTCTTTCCCCCCCTTTTTTTTTCTCTTTCAGTAGCAAGGTTACTAGGATTTCTTGGTGTCCATCTCTTCTTTTTAGCAGCAAAGAAGACTTGCTGGGACTCCTTTTTCCCCACGTAATTTGATGACAGGCTGTTTGGACTCTAAGAGGGGAATTACGTTTGCATGTCCCTTGGATATATCTCTCAGTCCATCTGCTTTTCCAACAAGTGATGAGCCATGAGTCTCTGTTAGCTTCCTGCTCATTAGCACCCCGGGTGAGAGCAGGGTGGGGAGTGGAAGAAGGTGCTGACCTTTTCCAGCTGATGACAAGACTGGCTACAAAAGCTAAATGCCTTGAAGTTTTTTACTGTTTTATCATGGATATTAAGTTCTACACCTTTTAATAGAAACAAGTTTATCTTTGATAGAATCAAAACCATGTGATACTTGAAGTCACCTGACTTTTTGATATGGATTCAACATGGACTGGTATTGCTCCCTAGAGAGAAGGGATGATTATAACACTTTGCTCTTAACATGTCAGTTTGCTAAACCTTCTATTTTTGCGCCAGATTGCACAGATATAATAAATAAAATCATGAAAATTCTCCTTAAAGAAAGGATGTGATAGCAATAGAGAAAAATTACTCCCAAGTTGTCCAATAGCTCTTCCTTCCTGGATAGGATCATTTCTCTATATGTTGTCCTGTCTCTTAAAGCAGCCTAGTTTTAAATAAACCAAAAAAATATTCTTGGGAATATGTAAATAAAAATTTGGGTAGATCTGCAGCCCAGCACTAGCAGCAAAAAAAAATAAACACACACTGAACAGGCAAAAAGCAATTTAAGAGTGGAAAGAAATGGCACAAGAGAACTTTGAGGATGACTGTTACTATTAGAGGGATTCTTTAATGAGCTTTCTCAAGTAGCTAGCAATCAGGAAATTCTAGCCAGCATTTAAGTTTTTTAGAAAAAGACCCACAGCCTGTCCAGTTACCAGTCATTCCATAGGTGTGTGAAACATCTCTTTCCCCCTCAAACATACAGATTTGCATGCTTTCTATTACAGACCAGCTACTCCTTTTTACATGCCATATATACTTGTTTGGCAAGAAAAGACAAGTTACAGAGCAACGAATATTTCAGAGCTGTTGACATTATACTCCCCTCCTCCCTGCCAAAGGAAGATATTCAAACCAGATCAGCTCTGTGACTTGCTTTACAGTAAATCCCCAGAAGCAAGAAGGTGATGAAGACATGAGAGGAAAGGGAAAGGCAGTGAAACTGGCATTTCATGAGATTGCCCTGACAGCTGAGACATGAATAAAACATCCTAAAATTTTTGTGCCTTTAACCTTAAGCAACTTTCACACAAGAAGTTTATGGCAGCTCAGGAACTTGAAACACTGGCCTTGGAGGCAGGGGGCAGCGCAGTGCCGGTTGCTGTCCAGACACATCCCTGGTTTCAGAGTATATTAATACAAATGCTCCTGTGTCAGCAGAAGTCAGATTTTTGACATGTCCTAAGTGGTGTCTGGCACTGGGAGGAAGGAAGGGGAGTGGTACAGGGAAAGATTTTTTGGTGCCTATTTATTTCTAGTTGTCAGTGATACCATTTTGTTCAGAACACAGAGGATGGTCTAGAACTACAGAAAAAGAGGATTATCATCAGGGCAAGGTCAGCTGAGACATTATGAAAAAATGCCATGCAATTTGGAAAGAAATGGCTATTTTTTAGAATGTTTTTTCAAGTCTCAAGCATAAAAGTGAAGGTTGCAACTTCCCAGCTGAGGTATCTGTAAAACATCTGTCAATGCAGCCTGAAGGTGTGACATCCATTTTCTCAAAAATTATTGGCAGTCCAGGAGTTTAAAGCTAATCCACCTGATGTGGCTGCAGCAAATAAATACTCTGGTAAGCAGTCTGTGGCTCAAGAACAACAGGAATGGCTGTTAATATCTGCAGGGACTCACTTTCTCTGCAAATGTTTTGTTCCACCTAATACTTTCAGATACACAGTAGGTTTGATGATAAATGAGACACGATTTCATAAGGGTGAGAGAGATCATGTGCATCTTAGTTGTGTGTTACTCTGTCAAGAGATTAATTGTAAAAATGAAAGGTTTTATTTAGTAAATGAAGGAAGGCATTTTGTGATTTATTTTTTTTAATGCTCTTTAGCTGAAGATGTTACCTAAAAAAGGCCACAACATAATGACAGAGAGAAGATCCATAGATGTGCACTGAAAAGTCACATAGATGTGACTGAAAAGTCAAGGACCAGTATCTAAGAAGGTGTGACTACATATAAACCAGAAACCAAGGCACAAGACACACTTACTGAGTCAGTAAGGCAGGGTGCACACAGGGAAAAAAATAAAATCTTTTCTGCAAAAATTCATATTGTTTGCACAGCTACTTTATTTTCTCTGCTGAAGCACTCTGATTTAGCTGCACGGCAGGTGCCTGATGCAATGTGGGACACTGGCTGGCGGAGTTAATTCTTAATTAGTTCTGCTGCCTGAATTTGCTGAAACCCAAACCTCTAGAGCAAAGCTGTTCACTGATGACAGCACTTTTTTCTGGTGCTGTTCATCTGAAGTGCATAAAAAGGATAAAATCTTACTTTTCAGGTGCAGGACTTAATTCCACACTAGATACACTGCTTTGGCTGAGCTGTTTTCACTTTTTACAGTCCAGACACCACCATCTTTCAGATTCTCTCATCCATCCCTCAGCTCTCTCAGTAGAGCTGATTTTACATGTTCCTGACAGCCTTCAACTAACTCACAGGAGTTGTGCTATTCATAACACTGCAGCCCATGGAATGAATTATTTAGCTGATAACCTTATGCTCAGTCTGGAAAATCCTTCCACTGACAAGCTAAACCCCCAGATGTGGTGTGAGCACTTAGATTCCAAGCCAAAACATCAAACAAGAAAACATTCTGTCCCCCTGTTTTGTTTGGGGTTTTTTAAACATATATTTAAAAAGGTAATTTATGAAGAAAACTGCAACAGCCTGAAAGATTTAAATACTTGTGAGGTCTATTCCTACCACTTCTTCGCAACTGGGAAATCAGCAATCAGTTATCAAACAGCTTGTGGTTTTTTAGCAAGTTTTTTCATCTGATTATAATACAAATGAAGAAGACGTGAATAATGAAAACAGAATGAAAAGCTGTTATTAGTATTTTTAACCCAAGCGTGTGGTTATCTCTGAGAGATGAAAAAAGGGGAGAATATTTGTTCTTTTAATGTAAAATCTTTCCTTGTCCCCCCTATTTCAGTGTCGTACAGGGAGAGCCACAGATCCCGAATCAGGTATTTCTATACAGTGCTTAAAAATTTGTTCTGTTCCCTCTTATTTACACTATTCTACCACTTCTGCAGTTGATATTGTCAACCTACCAAACCTCAGAAAATTCAGAAAAAAGTAATTAGGGAACCTGCAATAATTAGTTCTCTCCTATTTGAGGACAAGTGTCATCAACTATAACCAAAGCCTTTTCTCCTATGCTGAAGTACACCAAGAAAAGCTCAAATGGCATCTGTGATAGTTGAAAACTGGGGCATTGCTGAGCAGAGGTTAGATACAGGTCAAGTTTGCTCTCCTGCAAATAGTTGCATCTGGGCCCATCAGATCCTGTGATGGGGAGACAGGACAGCTACTGGGTTTCTATTCTGTATCACTACTCTGTCAAAACATAATTATATTCTGGTACTTGAGTGTTCAGAAATTCAGAGGGGTTTTAGCTGTTATTCATGATTGCTAAATATATTTTTATATTATGAATGTAATACATAGGCATTTATCTAATATAATTGCAAATTCATGTTTAAAAAAAATTGCTAAACCTCCTCTTGAAGCATAGAGGAAAAAATATCCATCTGCTGTTTAAAATCTAAACTCCAAAGAGAACATTTGCTTTGGAGCAGCTGAAAAATAATTAGAAGAGAAAAACCAGAATTGACTAAAAGGAAATATACGGAATTAAACCCAAGGTATTGTAATGAAATAAAAAAATAGATTAAATAAAAGGTATTTCTCTGAATTAAATAAAGGAACTAGAAATACCATTAATAATAATACTAAAGGTCATTTTTTGAGCTTGATTCAGTGAGCACATTCATTTTTGCCTGCAATTTCCATTTCTAAATAAGAAAGCATAGATCCTGCACATATGTTCTAATATCTGCTCATCTCTTCATTTACCCATCACATATACATGCAATGGTTTGTTCAAATGAGATTACATATGCCTTTTTTTTTTTAGATAAGCAGCACTGTAAATTAGCTACCATAAAACAATGCAGCTGCATCACTTTGCACAAATAAATTATAAGGAACAATAGGCAACGCTGGATGATAAATAGAAGCATTTAGCAGGGAGCCTAAGTGCACTTTTGCCATGGTAAAGGCTCATTTTACTAGAAAATATTGAGGCTGGATGGGATACTGTCATAATGCAATTATTTACTTAAAATAAATAATCCGTGGTTAAAGAGTGGGCAGACCAATAACTCTTATGATTGATAATACGAATATACAACTTTACCAGAAGACAGTTCATTTTCCAAAAAAAGTGATCCATGAATTAAAAATAAAGATGGGGTGGGACTATTCATGTATGACTAAACATAAGTTACATATTTACTTGATAAAGAATGCTGTAATTACCAATGAGGCTTATTAAACAACACCATTAACTAATAAGACGCAATGATGAAAATGGATCTTAGTCCCTCAGAATTTGGATCATGTTAAGTCGTTTTTGGAGATGCAAAGAATTTCCTTTTCTCAGATATATCCATAATGTGAACAATATTCTTGTATTTTCCTGCCACCTCTCAAGATATGCATTTTATCAGGGCTAGAAAAATTGTCACATTTTCAGATCAACAGCATGTCCTTTTTATCCTGTGGTCTTCAAGGCCTGAGCAGCTCCTTTTCAAAATATCTTGGATGAATTTTCCATTCAAGTTTGACTACTCCACGATAAATAGTACTCTTTCATTAGTTTGTCACCTAAAAATAATGGGCCACAACAACTCATATAGTATTTTCATATCACAGTGTGTATTACAATGACTAGAGCACATGTTTCTGTAGCCCCCAAGAAACCTCAGCGAGGGCTTTAAGACCAGTGCACTCTGTGCTTACAGATACAAAGAAACGTGACAACATCTGGACCTAAAGAACTGTACATCATATCTCTCAGTGCTTTCAGTGGAGACAAGAGCAAGCAGCATGCAGACATGTTACATGGGTTGAAAAATGGGTTTGTGGCAATGTGTATTGTGCTTTTACACTTGATAGTGAAAGCTGAGCAGCTTGACATGCAGAGGAAGGGAACCGATATTACAATACGGTCAGAATGGTGCAGACCGCTGCCAAACACCCCTCTGAATACCAGTTATCATCTGTTCCCTGTTACTCTTTGCTCATCTGCCACTTCGATTTCCAAGTGGGAATTTCTTCCCACCCTTTGAGATCTGACCAACTTCCACATTCTCCTTCAGCTGCCTTTTACAGAAAGAAAGGAGCTACAAATGCATTCTGAAAAAAAATTGTTTTTCTGTTGTAAGAAAAACACAACTTCTGTTCCATAAGTGTTTTACTCTTGCGGCTTTGAAACACACATGCAGTTGCCTTCTATGATCTTAAGATTTAGGTGACAAATTTCTGGAAACTCCAGTTTCTTAGCTCCATGCCAACATTTCTATGGGGAAAAAAAATTGGTTAGGCACTAGTACGAGTTAGGCACTCTTTGGAGTCCCAGAGAGATCAAATCATAAAGGCATAATTGTGGCTGGCAAAACCATCACTCAGAAGATTACCTAGCATAACAAGTGACTTGGCTTTCCTGACACCCACCTTGAGCATCCTTACACCACCCCTGGTCCACTCCTGATAAGGAAAGCTCCAATGGTTTCAGCTATAGAGATATGAAAGATGAACAGAGGCAAAAACACCAGCACAAACCCACTATGTTGGCAGCACTTTATAAACCTCTGGATTAAAACAGGAATTCAGCTTTCCACTGGAGTCCTAAAAATTAGGGATACAAATGAATCACATGTAATCTCATATGTGAAATGCCAATGAAGACAAAAAATGCTGTAACTATCTGGCAAAAGGCATGTTCCTACCAGATTCTGCAGCTAAGAGGGAAAGCATTCTGGGATCAAAAGGAAAGCAAGTGAGGAGCCTGACTTTATAATTCAATCCTTGTGGCACTTGGCTGGAAGTAGGAAGTCTGACTATTTTGACTGCAGAATTAGACCTCTTTGTCCTGATGCTTAAGCAGCTCTGAACATGTCTTGCTGGACACAGGCAAGTCTGCATCAGAGGGGACATTGTTTCAACTACAAATACAAAGGCCAGGCTAGAGATAGCAGGTTAGGGAGAAAATAGAAACAGGATTTTTAAGAATTGGCTGGAAATTGTTTTGAGATTACAACAATTATCATTATAATACATTCTTATTCATTGGAACAATCAAAGGAGAAATAATATGGGAATTTTCCACCATTGTCAGTACAAAGTAGAAAGAAACTCTCAAGTGTATGAGCTGTTAAATAAACAGCCTCTTGAAAAGCCAGGAGATAAAAGGAAAATGTTCAATTCAGCTGGGAGCCAAGCTGGACCTTTGAGGAGGTTAAGGAGAGCAACTTGTAGTCCACAGCAACTGCATGCAAACCCCCCACTGGGCAAAGATGTTACGGCTCCACTGCACAGCCCAGACCGCACAATGAATCTACAGCTCTCACATACTATATCTGGAAACCAGATGGCTCAAACTTCCACAGAAAGGAAACCTCCAAATTTCTAGTAGCTTTTTGAGCACAAATATCACCTTTGCAAGCGTGTCTAGCAATTGATGGTGCTGTAGGAAAGGCTCATAAATCAATCTGAAAGGTCTAGTAAGACTAATGCCTCTTCTGACAATGAAAATAAACCAAATAACAGTAAGACACGTTTTTGCCTCTATAAAACACCCTGAAACAATGTTCTTAGTTGCACCTTTTTCACAGAGGGACCACTAAGGTTTAAGGCAATTAATGCTCAGGCTGCCCCAAATTCTCCAGAGCACTGTGTTGTATTGCAAATGGTACATAACGACTCCTGTTATGATGCTTGGATTTTACATCAGGAAAACATGGCAACCTGAGTGCATTAGCTGAAATATTCTTAAGTCATTTTTTGTCTTCCTTAGCAAACCAAAAAGGAAAACAGCAGTCAAAGGTATGCTGTTGCTTAGTGATTTTAGCTGCACGTTATGCACACTTGCAGGAGAAAAGGCAGTCAGAGCAAGGCCTCGTATCTTTGGCATATAAACTGCTGAAAAGGTAACATCCTCAAGGAGGATGTGGGTTCAAACGGATCTTTGGCCTGAAAAAATTATTTTTACCTATTCCATACTAAACGAATGGAAGTTCAGATTGGTTATTGCCTTAGGGAAAGATCATAACTATCCAAGGTCATTGTGCACTAGGGTACTTTTCATCTATTCCCATGGAAAGTATATATTTCTCTCTAAATATGCAAATTGTGGTGGATCTGGTTTTGAATCATCTATCTGATACTTCTGTCCTCCTTGATTTCCACCACAGGACCTTGAGACCCAAAACTGAGCACTTCTGTATTTAACTGCATTTCTCGGGGATCTCGCCCCTATCAAATTCCCCAGGGTACCATTTTATTATTCATTAGCTTCACACTCACAAAGTAACACCAAAACAGAAATGTACATATAGCAGTACCAGGTCCCTCCCCCTGCTTCCCTCTTTTCAAAGCTAGTGTCCTGGGGCTGGTACCCAAGAGGATTTGGCTTTGGTTAGCTCAAAATCCCCACTGAGCTCTTGCCTGTGAGATTTTGGCCTAATCACTGCCTTCCTCTGAGCCTCAGATTTGACATCTACAAAGCCAGGACAATCATAAGGACTCCCGTGGTGAAAACTCTTCAGATCTGCTTCAGAAAAATACTATGTGAGAGTCATATCTTATTTACTATTGTTGTTGCCATTTATTATTTTTATTCCTGTGCAGCCCCATCATCTCAATGAACTCCTTACACATAGATAAGTGTAATCATAGAGCACAAATGACCCGGGATGCCTGCTAAATTTACTGTGCCTAATAATACCAATGACTCTTTCCCTTCTGCAGCGTCATATATTCAATCGTGATTCGAACCATCTGGATGAAGAGCAAAGCTCAGGCTGTCATCCTATCCAGCTGTCCTGGTGAGTCTCAGCATGCACGTGACTCCAGCCTCATGGTTCAATTCCGGCTGGTTCTCACAAATCTGGGAATGCCTGGATGTGCAGTGTTGTGTTGGGCCCCCATCACAGCAGTGGAAATGGGGTTTCTGTAAATGTTCATTCATAACTCTTTTCTACATTGTTTACCTTCTTTGCTTTGACACTAAGCCCTCTTTAGAGAAACAATAGGAAAAATCTGTGAGAAAATTATTAAAAAGTGAAAACTACTTATTCTAGAACTTAGAATTCCTATTCCTAGACCTTTGTCCATTTTCAGAATAAATATTTTCTAGCATATACCTAGGTAACACTTTTTCTGTGTTTTCGCATTTCCTTGGCAAATCTGGATTTTGCTCAAGATCAGAAATTCTTGGCCACAGAAGGCTATAAAATGAGTGAGCATTCCATCCCAAGACTATAAATGCCAAAATGTTTCAGAAAGATCTACTCTGATTACATTTACCTTTTTGATTTTGGGTGGCTCAGGTTTTAAGGGTTCAACTTGAGCAGACTTGAAAGTGCCCAAATTTCAGGAACTACTGAGCTCCTGACTGACACCAGGGAAGGATGGGGCTATGTATTCCTGTTCTGCCTGCCAAGGTACACACTCACACATCCACACACCAGCCCTATTCTCTTACTAGCTGAACTCTTCTTTCCCCAGGTGGCACAACCTCTGCTGGCTGCACCAGTCGTGGGTTCATATCAAGGGCAAAAGTGAAAGCTATCAAGTACAGCATTGTAATTATCCTTGGTAAGTGAAAAGCCCCTCAGTTGATAGCTAGGGAGGATGCTGACATGAGGAAGCTGCTTCTCCCTAGCAACCTCCATCAGCAGCAGACAAAGTGCAGTAGATAGCTCAAAGAAGGAACTTAGATCCCTGACTTGCCTTCTGACCCTGTCCTTCCTCTCTCCTCTGGCTGACACACTCCTATTTTAGGCATCTGACATAAGCCTCAAATGAAATTATATGCACAGCATTAAGAAAGTAAAGAAGAGACAATGTCTAAAAGGAAAAAGGAAGGGGTCATCTCCTTCCCATCCAGACTGCTGAAAGATTTGGCAACTGAGTTGTCTTTTAGGCTTAGAGACTATGTATGGCGTGTGAGCTGCTGGGCTGGTGCAAGGCAGAGGAAGGAGAGGCAAGATGTGGAGCGATTGCATTTGATGTTACAGGTGTGTTGCCTGCCGAGATGGAAAGAATGAACTCTCCTTTCCTGACTGAGCAACAGATGACTCAGTGCAGGCATTCTCTGTCTCCCAGGGAAATTACATTATTCTGATGCAATTAGGAGGCTGATATTCTATCTCAATAAATAAAACCAGCGTCACACAAGGCTTGTGATTAACTGCAGCGAAATGCAGGAAAGCGACCAAAGCTGTTTACTCTCGAGGGCTGACAATCATCCCCTGACACTGAAAAAGAGATTGCTTCTCTTTCCAATACTGTGCAAAATTCAGATTGGAGGATACTGTGATAATAGCCACTACTGAGTTGCTTAGCTCACCGTGTAGAGGTAGTGTCTGCAGACGTGAGAGAGGGTGGTGTGATTCATACCTTTCATAAGCCCAAGAACAGCTTCTTTGTGTCTGAACTTTTCTGAGAAAGATTTTGTCAGATGCAACTACTACTGCAAGGCCATCAGGTGTTAAGATCTCACATGGATGGTCAGTATTTCAGTGTACCTTGGTAATATTAGGCACGCAGCCTCTCTTGATGTGCAAACAGGTAACTTAAAAGTTCTGCACAGTTAGTGCTATGATCCACATGCTGGGACTGTGTACTGCTATTTTATGGATATCTCTGCATAGACACCTCCTGTTTGGTTACTCTACAATACAGGAGGTGAGTTTACCTCTTCCTGGCACTTTCAAGGAGCACTCAGCTAGGTGCCAGAGAAGAAATACTGATTAATGTGACAAGAAACAGGCATGAGGTCACTCTTCTGTCTCATCTAGGTCAGGAAGAGATCGTGTCTGATTTTACAGATTGTTTGCAACCCAGGTACTTATAGGTTGTTGAGTGAACTGCCTGTCACAGTATTTCTATGGAAATCCTGAATCATAAGCCTTTGTGAGAAGAGATGACACAAAAATTTGTGAAGGACAGATTCATTCCCTATGTTTGCAAATAAAGGTAGATCTGTGACCTTTTTTTTCCCTACCACCTCTGAAAAAAACCAGAGGCTATGAGCAATGGAGTCTTCTTTTCCCTTCCTCAAATTCATCTCTCAAATGGCAGTACAGGAAATTAGAGAATCTTCCTGCACATTCCATGTACACAGCACCTCCAGCCAGCATACCAAATGACATGTTGGTTTGCTGTAATGTGGTGTGAAAGAGTGTCATTCCTTGCTCCTGGGTGTCTGAGAGCCTTCTTTTAATAGGTGGCTATGACAGGCAGTGCTGTCACGGAGCAGCGCTTCGGCTGCGTGTACATTTAGATTGGCTGCTCACTCAGGGGACCATTAAAAGAGCACTTCACTATAACTGATGAAGCTTTAACTGGCTACCTATTTACCCTTTATGCATTGTGTAGTGTTCTGAAGTGTCTAAATATGTCTAAAGGGAGCATTCTAAACGCTTAGAGGAGTACACATAATATATTTTATAGGCATTAAAATAAAAATAAAGACAAATAAAAGCACAATCTAATAACTATTCTCTTAAATAAGATCCTGAATAGCGAGAGGGTTTTTTGCATAAACAAATATTTATGTGTTATGACAGTCTCTCCATGAGTGTGTAATTGCCTCCCTAAATTGCTCAACTATCCAACGTCAAGCTCTTCCTCTCTCTCTCTTCTGCAGCATTTGTTCTCTGTTGGAGCCCTTACTTTCTTTTTGATATCCTGGACAACTTCAACATACTCCCTGAGACTAAAGAGCGCTTCTTCGCATCCGTGATCATTCAGAACCTGCCAGCCTTGAACAGTGCCATCAACCCCCTCATCTACTGCTTCTTCAGCAACCGCCTCTGCCCCCCTTTCGAGTATTGCTCCTTTACTGTCACTCTGATTACCCCCTAAGAAGGGAGGGAACACAAGCACAGTCCGTAAGCTGACTAACTATTTTTTGTCCGTTTTAATTCTGATCATTCCTTATTTTTTACAGGGAAAGAAGAACTCAAAGGCTGGGAGGGACTTTCCGGGAAAGGAGTGATGGAGGGCAGAAGTTGCAGGTCCTGTCCAAACCGGAATACATCTAGCACAGACGATGCTCCGCAAAGCCACGCTGGAACCTGTACCGAAGACAACAGAGGTCCCCACAAGCCCTGTCATCGTGAAGCAGATGGACACTGACTGGCAAGAGCCTGCAACTTGCTGCTCTTGTGCATCTTACAGCACATATATTTTGGATCGGCACTGCAGCTTCAGCAATCTCACACTGCCAGTGCCAAACTCAGAGCAAGGGTTTTGTCTGCCTCTGTTTTGAGGCTTCATCTTGGCCCTCTGTTTAAAGCAAGTTGTAATCTATGCATGCTCCAAACAGCAAAAAAAAAAAAAAAAAAAAAAAAAAAAATAAAAGGTGTCTAGTCAGAGTCTTCTCTATTTTCCAGGAGTTGCTAAAAGCCATCTACTGTACCATCTGGCTCATATAACTGATAGAGTGTTTACAAATAATTACAGAGCAAGGACCCCAGTTAAAATGAAAGCACTGGCACTTTTCCAATGAGAACACACCCCTGCCACTCAATTATATATTATATCTGTTTTCATACAGAACCACTTACAAAGTCATAGCCAGACAAGAGGGGAATGAAGGTTTGGGTCACTGCCTGTCACATCTCCTGGCCTAGCTTCTCAGCTCATGCCAGCCACACCATCCCTGTAGCTCTTCTTCCCCATCCAGTGCGATATTTCCCTGCTGTGCTACCTTGGCACACAAGTGGCACCCCAGGATCCCAGAAGGGCTCCACATGACACATCCAAATAATCATTTATTTCTGGGCTACTAAGAAAGTGTTTGCCAGTCCCTCCCAGACCCCATGGTTCATCCCACGAACAGATCTTTATGTGCTTCTGTGACAAAGGCCCTGAACAGTCTTTTCAGGGCCCTATGGGGAGTTGCCATACAGGGCACTTTGTCACTGCAGACTAATCTCGCCACCCACACAGCAGCATTTCCCTACCCCCTACCCTATGTAAATCATCCCTGCCACTTAAATCATGCAAGGAACCATACATATCTTTGCACAAACTCAGAGCTTGAAAAAGACCCAAGTGAAACCATAAAACTCGAATTACATTTAGAAAAAATTAGCTGTTGACGGTCCAGTCTTGTAAACTCATTGTGAGGCTCACAGAACACCATCCGTCAGGCAAAGCTTTGCTGCACAGCACCCAAGCAGTTGGGCATCCCCTTCCCCCAGCCCTCAGGGCATCCTCCCACCACACTCTTCTCAAGTTTAAGGAGAAATTTCTCACGCAGGTTAAGTGGGTGGGGGAATGATATTAACTCCAATGCTCATTTTGCCACAAGGCAGCTTGAAGTGTTTGTGCGATAATACGCTCTAACCAGCTGTATGGCAAGTGTATTTGTTTCCACTCAGTAAAAAAATTATTCTTACTTAAGTGGAGTCAGTATTAAAACCTTTTTTTATTATTATGATCCTTTGCAATGAGTTTGTTCCCTGCAAAACAAGAATTGAATAAAATTTATTTATAATTACCTATATTACTAAAATACTTTTTCCTAAGTAGGAGATACATAAAATTGTGGGGCTTTATGTTCTCAGTAAAATAAATAAGGTATCTCTCTTTATTACCATGAAGTTCTGTTACTTATACTCTATGTCTAAATTTTAATAACTGCTTAATTAAAACTATGAATCTATACCAGCCTTTACAGCAGCCACCTTGGATAGACTGTATATAAGAACTAGAGCATGTAGTAACTTTCCCAAAAGTGGACTGCTTGGTTTAAGTTTCATAGTGATATAAATTGTGGGATTTAACTTTTTCATCTGATACATATACACTGGGTTTCTACTTTCAAACTATTAATGGAGTTTGTAGATTTAATACCTGGAAATCAGATAACATTTCTGAGCAGTACTTTGATTTGCAAATTTAATGTGACTCAGTCCCACTAAAATTTACACATAATTCAGTGTGGTCACCACAGGAATTATCCCATCTAAATTAAGCATATGCATGAATTAATGTAGAACTCTAGACTTAAATGAAGTCATTATTCATTTACTTTCAAAGAAACAGCCTTTTGTTTCATTCATTATTGTATTATGTACCATTTACATGTTGTTAATATCCTTTCTCCTCTGGACATGATTGTGATGCCTTTCCTCATATGAGACTCTTTCAGTTTAAAAGACCTCACACCACTTTTGTCTGCATCCCTTCCAAGTGCTTAAATACAGAAATAAATAATTTGTCTTATTTTCTATCCTGCTTTCTTACTGTAAAGGAGATGGCATTCTACTACCTTTTTATACTCTCCACATCTTCTGTCGTAAAGCAACAGAAGAAGTTGATTTTTTCCATTAGTCTGGAAAACACTTGCACAGCTCTCCTTTGTCTCTGGGGAGAGAGATTTAGGGAATTTCACCTGACTCCAGTAGGTTTCTTGTTCTTATTCCATGTCTGCAACTCGCTCTACATCTGTTGACTGTTTAGTTGCTTAATGGTGTCAGAGTTGTTACGACCAGACCTCAAACCTATGAGGAGAGGCAGCAAAAGTCAGTGTCAAGGTCTGATTGTCCCGAGAGGGAGTCTGAACACAACAAGAAGAGGGCACCCAGCTGGTTTGTCCATGACAACCCAGGAGGAGCTCTGGTTTTCAACAGCTTTAACACTTCAAGATGCATCTGTGAAATCCTTCTGACATTTCCACAGCGACCAGAATTATTTATATGCATGACTGTTAAGACATAAAATCCCATATGATAATAAAGTCCTATATGATTATAGATTCTCAGAAAGGATGAAAAATCAGATACTCATGCCTTAGAGAGGTCACATCAAACAGCATAGGACTAGGATACTTTTCAAACTAACACTAATTCAGGAGAATAGAAAATGTGTGCTTCTGTGTCAATGTCCAAGAAAATATAAATAAGAAAGCAATTTAACTTGCTTTTGGATATGTTTGATGCTATTTAATGTTCAATTCTCTAAGTCCAGATTTCAATCTGTTGTTAAGAGTGTAAAGTGATATTTTGTCTTTTAACTTGGTTTTGCCTTTGAAATTTGTCTCCTCTTTTAATTTTATTTTGAAAAAAAATAATGCAAGGCAGCAAAATTCAACATTCCACATTGCAACCATCGAAGAACAGTAAGTCAAAATCTACTCAGAAACATGTTGCATCCTCCTGCACACTGCTGACCCAGGGCTTAGAGGTGCAGATCAGTCAAAAAAACCCAACCAAACAAAAAAAACTACTTTGTTGTTTGCAGGTTTGGGGCTCTTTTTGAAAGATATCTTTCATGGAAAAGTAATTACACCTTTTGAGATGATATAGGATGATTTGAGTTCCACAGAATGAATGAAGATCCATACTCTACAGGTTACCTAGACATTTAAATATGAATTGTTCTATTGGAAATCAGGCACATGCAGGTCATTATGGAAGTGGACTTACAGAATATGCTTCTTCTAGAGTATAAGCTATTGTGAGCACTAGACCCTTACTAATAGCAGTCTCCAAGGACACAGAAGCAGAATAAAAGCAAATCTGGCACTTATTTTAGTCCAAACCCTGACATTTGAATACCAGAAATCTTTATGTCTATTCAGATTTCATATTTTCTTGGCACTGCAAGATGCAGGAAATTGGAAAAATCCTATCTCAGAACACTGGCCTCTGTGAAAAACACAGGAAAAATAACTCAACTAAAACCCCACAACATTTTCTAAGTGACTTTGGCAAACAATTTATCAAGATATGAGCACTTTGGGGTAACACTGAGCTAACTGAGAAGAGTCTCTTGGAACTCTCTACAAAGGAATACACTTGCTGATAAGATGCCTCAAGTTCTGCATCCCTTCAGAAAGTCTTAATTCACCATTTGTGCAGATATGTTTCAGACAAGAACCCAGAAGGCCTCACGCTACCTGCCACTTCACCTTACCCCTCACAGGGACTGAGGGGCATGTACTGTTAAGAAATACTTGATAGAAACAGAACAACCACAAAGGAAAGAAACTGCAGAAAGCACTACATACACACACACACACATATATATATATACATATGCTGTGGGCACAATTGCCTTTTGTCAGGAGACATTCCACAGACAAAAATAAACTAGTGTAGAAGCTATCTGTCTCTACCTTCCAACAAGAGCCTGGTGTTTACAGGAGCTGAGACTTTAGTTTATTCATCAACCTTGAGAAACATGATTAATTTGTGGAGTAAATGCGATTTTTAGTGAAAGGTAAAATATGTTTCATTTCCTTTAGCAAACTGTAATTTATTTTACACAGTGTTTAATTTAGATAAGCCTTATAGCCGAATGGTTCATTAGATAATCTTCTGTCACGTTTGAGGGCATCTTATTCTGAATATGCATAAAATATGGGGGTAGAGGGTCAGGCACACAAACACATGCACAGATTTACAAATAGACACCGCTAATTCCTCAGGCTGAGTTGGTTATGGTGGTATATAATTAGAAGCTTAATTTTTAGTTTACACTCAAGCAAGGGAAATGAAAATGGGCTAAAATTCAGCAACTTTAATAAGCTCAATAAAAATGAACAGAGTCTGAGGCATCACATAGAAAGAACTGGATGAACTTCAGAACCCAAATAGCAGAAATGTGAAGAAAGGTATCACACTGTGTGCTAATAATCAGTTGCATCAATTATGAGAAATTCTGTTATGAATTGGGAGCTAATCAGCTGGAAATATCTGAAGAGAAGAAAGCCTTAAGCATGTTCATCAGCTGTTCACTGACACTACGACAGCCAGTGGGGTCAGGTGGACTAATATGATCCCAACATGTATCTGGTGAAGCATTTTTCAGAAGAGCTAAGGCTGTGCTAGTGTCACTGTTCCTCTCTGTTGAGACCACTCTGTGTAAAACAAGAGAAAGAGGAAACATGGAAAAGAACAATCTGAGATTTCGGCTTGTTGGAGTTGGTAATATGGAAAGCTGAAAAGGGGTATTTCTGCTGCCTGTTAAGTCAATAATATCAGTGGGAAAAGGATGAAAAGGAAAAAAATAGTTAAAATACATGATAAATCCACAAAAACCCCTGCCCCTGGAATAATCTCACCATGAATAAATTCGAATAAATTCAGCTGACACGATGATCAGCCTGCCCAAATCTTATTGCGTGGGTTGGGAACAAACTTTTTGGTTATAGGAGAACCCTTCCAGTTTGTGCTATGGCAAGGCAAGGCACGACATTCTGTGCAAGCTTTTCAGGAGGACCAGGAGC